TCTCTGTTACCATTCCTCTGGGAGGGGTGTACAGCTGGAGAAAGGGGATTTTGCAGGACTGTAATCCATGTCACTGCAGTCAGCCAGGTTTGCTCCTGAAGCTGGCTGACTTTGCCATCAGCAGACAAGGGAACACTCATATAATCTCTCGCTTTGGAAGAGTTGTTGGGACAGTAACCTCTAGCTCCTAGGTAGTGACAAGCAGCTGGGAACAGTAATATTTTCAGCAGACTCAGCTGGAACCTGGAGAAAGCATCTGTCCATAGTTTCAATGACAGGTGGCAAGGAAAAAGCTGTGTGTGTGAAGCACATAGGCAATGTAAATCCTATTTCTGCGAGAGAAAGTTTATTCGCCTCTACTTTTAAGGCTTTATTTTTAGCTCCTTTATTTAGTAATGTCCAGAGAAGGTATCATGAGACAAAACACAGTGAACCTTCCAAAAGCATATAAGATATAGTAATATTGCCTTGCCAGTGTTTTAAAATAATGTACTAATGATCCAGTCATACAGCAACAGGTAACAAATCTCTTATACCAAGAGGCCTATTTTAGGGATTTTTTTTTCTCCTGCCAGCAAGTGCCAATTCAAAGAACAGTACTGACGAGTCCTTTCATTCATCACAGTGACAGGTTAAATTATTTTCTGGTGCTTTATAGCACATCTCGTTCCCCATCAGAATATACCGCATCTTGCTTGTAGAACTGTCCCTCCTCATCAGAAATATCAAAATATTATTTATAGCCATATTATGAATTACATATCCTAACTGGTAGAGAAAAAAAAAACAAACAACCTTATCCTCTGAATGAGTTCCAATTTCTGCATTGATACATAAGCTCTCACACTTTCATGACTGCCATCTCCTTTTTATCTTTTTCTTAAATACACATTCCTGTGTTAGTAACCATCTGACTGCACTCTTCTGTGCATCTTTCAGCCTCCTCTTTGAGTATATGCCCACCTTTTGATGGGCATATACTGTCCTTACACATCACCTGGTTTTCATTTTTTTGCCTCTCATCACTTGATCTATGGTGTACTTTCTACCACTCTCCACTGGTGCTGGAGACAGATAAAAGATGTCTCCATTACTATATACATACACACATACGCACACACTCTTTGGACAAAAAATAGTCTGATGCATACTATTTCCTCTCAAGGAGACAGATCCAGAAAGATTATAAAAATATTATATTTGTAAAATACATATACAGAGTCTAAAGGGAGGAGGGAGGGTGACAAAAAGTTACTGCCTAACAAAATTACAGAGAAGACCAGGTTACTCTTGCAGCCCCTCTTTAGATTCTCACATCTCAGAACACCATTTCCCACTGCCAGTTGAAATACCTGGCTTCACTGGACCTTGCATGTGCTTAATGTTATGTGTCCTAGCATAGACTTGAGACAGTCATCCAAAAGCCTTTTCACCCTTCAACCTCTGTTGTAGTTTTGTCCACCTCTTCAAACTTCCCTGCCGTTACATATGCAACAAGCGCTCTTGCAGCAATATGATTTCCATATTGCATAGGAAAATGGCTATTGACTTTCATCTCCACCTATCTCCTCATTGTATTAATGCACTATATTTACAAAGAAAGAATTCTAAGAACCACAACAGGTACTTCTCCAAAAGCCTTCAACTGAATTAATTATACTTCAATCCACCCACCTGGTTTGGGCTTTACCCAAGTGTCATCCCTGTTTTGCAAAGGGAAGAACGAAGGTACTGAGAATTTCATTGACTTACATAAACGGTCGCCAAAATAGATATTCTGACTTCTGCTCTGCTGCTCTGACCAGAAGAGGAATAATTTTCCTCTCAACATATTTTGACATAATAATATCTGCTGTTGGCTAGAAAGTGCTGGCAGATGTTCACATATAGCAGCACTAACATTTCTGAAGACTTCCTCCTGTTTTCTATTCATAATTGTATCTTCCCACAAGCTACTCTGGAACGTTTTACAATTACTTTGCAAATCACATTTCCAGAAAGACAAGTCCCTGCAGCTAACTAGAGCCAGATTATAGTGGCATTCAGTTGCTACCATCCACAACAACCAAGGAGAATCACATGCTTAAGAAGTTTTAGAATCCAAGACAACAGCATCTAGATCTGCTGCACTCAGAGCACACAGGTACAAACAAACAAACAAAAAAAAAAAAGCCCAAATGACAGCAAATTTCAAATGGCTAAAATTTATTTCTAAATCATGAACTGTATAAGGAGCATTCTAAATGCTCTTGAATGGACAATAACAGCCTAAAATTACCTTTAGAGAGTAATTGCTTACTGGTTTATATGGCCTAGAAATATAAGTACTTTTGAAAAATCAATTATATGAGGAAGAATTTGTCAGAACAGCCAATTAGATGCTAAACCCTTGTATTGTAAATTGATACTACATCTAATTAAGCAGTCAAACCTTTTTGCCTAGAAACAGAAGGAAAGAGACTGCTCTGTTTTAGCTGTATGTACAATTTTCCCGTCATATATCTTTGTCTGTTACCTGTTGGCAGTTCAACATGCTACTTTCATAATTTCCTTCTACAATAAAGAACAGCATTTAGGATTTCTGTATGTTTTAAGCTTACGTAAAATAAGGCTTCACATCAGTTGAAAGTGTGATCTATCCAAAAAGGCAACATATTAAAATATCATAAATATGTATACAGTACAAAACAACATTCAATATCTAAAGAAACCAAAAGGCAAAGGATCACATGTTAAAGCTTCCAAAATAAGTTCACAGATCATTTAAAGTCATTTGTGTCATTCTCAAAAAATCATTTCTGTCTAGAACTAACGCTCTAGCTGGAATAAGGAAAAAAGCAGAGGCAAACCCAAATTCCAAGTCAACACATACATGTATTTGAAATTCAAGCACTGTAAATACATACATCAAAAGGCATACACTGCAGCAATGTTCCTAAAGTGTGAGCTCTAAGAGCAGAACAAAATTTACTAAGTGGACCCAGTGGTCTAATCAAGGAAGAAAACTTCTCTATTTCTAAATGCAAGTTCAAAAATTAAAACCTCTCTGCTCAGTAAGGACCCCATTTACTATAAGAAAATCAGCAGTCATCTCATACAGTAGTAGGGAAAATTGTCTCCAGTCCTGCAGGGCATTGAGGACTTCCTAAGGGACACTGAGTGACTTCAACCACCATTTAGACACAAGTGTTTTCATCCTTGTTATTCCCCTGATTCTTCTTAACAAAATAAAAAGGTTGTTTTGAAAATTTAAAACTCCTGTCTCCTTTTGTTATGAATAAACTGCTAACCCATTTGGGAACTGTGTACACTCATATTTGCAAGGAAAGAGGGAAGAACTTGGAAAAAAATTCTTTAGTAACCCAGTAGTTTTTTGTCCTGTCACTGGGAAAATATATAAGAAGTCTTATTCTTCCAAGTCTCTAATCCTGTTACCACTCAAGACAAAGTGAGTTATGACTTCCCCCTCACCCCAACCCATTACAGTACAATGGGGCTGCAACTCAGAACCATACCTTAAAAATTACAGCTATTTTAGGACACAAAGTTCACTGCCACACAAACGCGTTGCCATTCTAAGCAGCCATCCCCTTCACAGAGGGCTCTGCTCTGCAGCCACAAGCCCATCAGAGATGTCTGAAGCCTGCATGTGCCAGTGTCTTAGAACGCATATGCCCATGCGTCTCCACATTCGTGTCCATAGTGACACATGCTGGCTGTTCTGGGGAAGAACATCTAGAGAGGTCACCTCAAAAAAAAAAAAAAAAAAAAAAGCACCTTTGGCAACTACTAGCTTCTGATAAATTATCTCATTTATGCAAACATGAAAAAAAATTCCTTTTCAGATCTTATCGCCCTTTCTCCCTTGAATTATAACTCTTCTGTATGTGAAACACAGCCTCTTGCCTGTTGCACTAGAAATCCGTTCAAATCCAAGCTGAAACTTCTGGCACAACACAAGAAGCCAGCGATCAGGTCCCCCCTATTTTAAAAGTGCAGGCTGATGTGGAGATTTGCTTGTGCTTCACCAGATGTTGAGCCATATTCCTTGTTTTTGTTTAGTCATAGTTTATAAGGAGCATTTAATCATCTTTCAGAGAAGAGACTTGCTTCTAAAATCCATTCCTAGGCTTTTTTTTTTTTTTAATTAAGATAGAGTTGGGTTTTTTCCTAAAATATTCTTGACTCCAGCTTCATTTTACATATCAGTATGTTACCAATGTGCAATTAAAAATACACTGATAATGAGCAGATGTAGGCAATGTAACTGATGCCAATATATTCAACTAGACATGAAGAGTTTTTTTACAGTCCTTTATGAATTACAGTATAAGGAAGTTTAATATTTTTTAATAAACCATCTAAATGTATTTTTGAAAGATGGAAGATTACTATTTTATTCCTATTCCCAATATTAGCAAAGAAACAATCATAAGCACTAAAAGAGACCAAAACTCATTCTTTGTTTCTCAGGAGGGTAATGTCACAGAAGCTCCCAAGGGCTAGTTTCCCTTGGCAAAAAAAAAAAGGGGTGTTCTTATTTCCAGCCATCTGCCTCCTTCCGCCAGGGCACTCCATTTCAGCATTTTGCTCAATTCACACGAAACTTTCACTGAGCTTCTCCTTAGCTGGAACTGGGGTATGATAGCGTTTCCCAAGTAAAGCAGTAGAGTGGGTGGTGCTATTATTCATCACCGCACCCCACGACTCACAAAACAAGCCATCTGCCATCCTTGTTCCTGCTGTAGTTTAATTAAGCGTCTACCAGTCAAAGGAAAAAGAAAATAAAAGGGGGTGAGAGAGGAAAAAAAAAAGAAGGAGGGGGACTGTGAAGAAGAGTGGAAGAAAATCGAACAGGAAGGGAAGGGACGGGCCCCCGGTGTCTCAGGAGCGGGCAAACCCCTCGCGGTGGGTGAAGGGTGGGGGGCGCCCCGTGAGCGGCGCCGGGTCCGACGGCCGCGGCCGGAGTTTTGGGGCCGGGCGGGCCGGGGCGGCCGTACCTGGGAAAAGGAAGGCTTTGCTCCCGTTGTGCAGCCCCGGCACCTGGCGCACGCCCTCCGTGGAGCCTCCCAGTTGTAGCTCGGACAGCACGTCGATCTGCAGCGAGGGGTCCACGCCAAAGCCTGAAACTGACCCAGAAAGTGCCATCACGCACCCGCCGACGCCGCAACTTCCCGGGTTGCCCCCGAGCCCCGCCGCCGCTCCCCGCACCTGCGGCCGCCCAGGGGCCAGGGGCCGCTGCGAAGCTCCGCCAGCCCCACTCCCAGGCGCTCTCCCGGCGGGTCCGGCATCCGCCTACCTGGCCCCAGGCAGAGGAGAAGGCAGAGCGTGCTCAAGCGGATGCCCGACTCCATGGTACACCGATGCGCTCAGTCCATAGTCCCCCTTCTCCGGCAACTGCGGGCAAAAAGCCACCGGGGCACAGGCTGGGTCCCTCTCCGCCTCTCACCGAGCGGCGCGGACCCCGCGCCGCCCCGCAGCGCGCATCACGGCAGGCGCCGCGCCGCCCCGCCGCCGGCCGGAGCACACAAAGGCGAGGGCGGGGGGCGTGCGGGCAGCGCAGCCCTCCGCCCGCGGGCAGACAATGGGGGAGCCCGCCGGAGCCTCCTGCCGCCGCAGCCGCACGAGCGAGGCCGCGGGAGGCGGAGGCGGCGCGCCCGTGCCCCGCAGCTCCCCGCCCCGCCGCCACCAGGCGCAGCCCCTCAGCTGGAGAAGAGCCGCCGCCGCAGCAGCCTCCGCCCGGCTCCCACGGGAGAGCCGCTCTCCTCTCCGCCGTCCAGCAGGGACAGCGGCACCAGCGGGAGGGGCCACCGGTTTATGCCACGGTCACAGGAGCCGCCCACCGCCTCCGCCGGGCCCAGCAGGGCCGGGGGGAGGCACCGCCCCGTCCGCCGAGGGCGCGCCGGGCGCGGGGGGTAGCCGGGTCCTCTGTCGGGGAGCTACGGGCGGGCCCGGTCCCAACAGCCGGGGGCGCCGCTGGGAACTTTGAGGGGAGCTCTCCCGGGGAGCTCCACCGGGGCGGGGGCGGCGGGGAGGGCCCGTGTGCCCCCGAGGCCGCGGCTGGCAGCGGCCGATCTGCGCTGGCCCTGACCCTCGGGGCGCTCTCCTGCCTGCTGGCGGACCCGTGCTGAAGTCACCGGTTGTTTCCTTCCCAACGTGATGCTGTCCAGTGTCCGGCGAAGCCACCGACTGATCTTTGAGCACGAATAAAAAGAATTTTGGAAGGGCAGGGTTTGGGGGAAACAAAACAGGACGTTTCCAGTCGCTGACCAAGATGGGAGTGTGCCGAGCTGGCGCGGGGCTGACAACCGCAGGTTCCCTTTCCCTGTCGGAAGATTCTACACAGCGGTCCTGTCCTCGGCTCTTTAACAAACCCTCCGCCCCCCCAGCAAGTGACATTTCTGTGCCGTACTTTGTGTGCCTATAAAGGGGGCTAAGAATAGCCTTATTCTTCCCTTCCCTTTCACAGACTACCAGTGTGCAGGGCAGGAATGTCTTGTTGCCAGTTTGTCAAATTATGCAGAATAAAGGATTGGGGGTTTATTTTTATTTTTTTTTCCAATTTCACATGCATGTTAATAAGACCCTAATGTCAGCTGGTGATTCCAGTATTGTTTATTGACCTCTGCCAAACTCATCCTCTGTGGTTTTTGCAAATAATAAAATCTTTACAAGTAACCTTTCACATCTTTCACAATAATCATTCGGAAGGCTGAAAGGAAGAGGAGTTTTGTCTCCTTTTTTTTTTTTTTTTTCCCAAGGCAACCGTGGGAGTCAATAGTAAATCTCCTTTCCAGACTAAATTAACTAATTGAGATACTAAGCAATACACAAAGCAAACATCTTCTTTCTTATAAGAAAAACTAAATTAAAAAAAAAAAAGAGAGAGAGAGAGAAGTGTCTACAGATGAAAGTGGGAAATGCAATCCATCCCTCAACCCAAATTCAGAGCACGGGTGTTAGAATGTGGTTCCAGTGTGCCCAACATGCTTGTCACCCTCGGAGGAGCTATGGACTTCTTCTCCAGGTGGCAGGATGAGCCAGTACAGCTCCATGAGAGGGGCTTCTACAGCCGCTTCACATTCCAACTGGTCTGAAAACAAATGAAATAAAGGAACCCTGCTGCAGGTACCACCTGTGTAACTGGTCATACAGCATCCCTGATGTTGTATCTTGCATAATCAGAGTTGTCAGTGACATTCCACCCCCATCCCAATCAGCCCAGCACCTCTTCTGCACCAAAGCTTTGTCTCCAGCCTTTTAGTGATGTGGAACTGTGCTTCCAAACTCATGAAATTCATTGGCTGCCAGAGCAGTCTTAACAAATGATGCGTTTCCTTGGGAAAGTTAATGGACAACAGCCACACATCAGTGGTTGTTTTCATGCTATTTAATCACATTGGTTACAGATAGCTCAGCCAGAAGCAATTAATTTGAGAAGAAATAGGTTCAAAATCTAAAGTAATAATGATGCATAATGAGCCCTGCCGCCAGTTGAGTCAGGCACACAAGCAAACAAATCAAAAGAGGCAAACATCTGCCTTAAGTTCTTTGCATCTGCCAGCAGCCACTGACATTTTCCATTAGCTGGGCCTGCTGGAGTAACATAAGCATGAAGATCAGGTGGAGTACATCCCTTTAATAATCTATTTTTTCCTCAGTTGATCTCCAAGGAGTGTCCACTCATCTTCCCGTACATGAGAAATCACACAAAACGCCATCCAACCTAATTTATCTATTCCCCCGTATTTATCTGGAGACCAGGGTAGACATCACACACATTACACAAAGCTGGGTTTCTGCTATTTGAAATGTCAATAGTGACAGTATTCAGCTAACCAAGAAGTAAGTGAACAGCAAAATGGGAATTTCTACCAATACAAGGAACATGACACTGATGAATAAATCTTTCAAACAATTGTCTAAACCTAATACATACTTCTACCCATGTAATCACTTTCTGATCTCTCTAGAAACATGCAGTTTCACCATCTTTATGAACATGTCCCTTCTTAAATTTGGATATCATGGATATACCTGAAAAAATGTTTTTTTTACACTTTCGGATGTCTGGAATGTTCTTCCCTTTGATGGAAACCATGTCTTTTAGCCAAGAGATCTACAAACACTTCATGCTGAGGTGCACCATAATCTACTCCACACATGGGAAATGGTGACAGACCTAAGAAAAAGGTTCAGTATGTACAGATCTGTAATAACCATGCATCGATGAAAGTGCTTTCTACATTAAGCAAGGTCTCTGTCTAGAGAAGCCCGTTTCAGATATTAACCTTTACATGTCTCACCAATTTTCAAGGCTCTCCAGAGACTAGATATCTCAGAGGTGGTTTGGTTTTGTTTGGTTCTGGGAGGTTGGCTGGTGGGTTGGTAGAGGTTTTTTCGGTTGGTTAGGGGTTTTTTGTTTTGATTTGTTTATTTTGTGGGCTAAGATAGTTCTTATCCTTACAAATGCTAGCAGTGAGATTACTCAAGGAAATGTCTGTAGAAGACAAGACTAATCTTTTGCACTTGCTATGGGACTTCTCCTGTGGCTTTCTTTGAAATACCACCTGGTCATAGGTATTACCATATCTACAGTGGAACAATCCCTTTACAAAACCTCCAGGACGAAATGGCATTCTGTAATTCCACAGCAATGGACAAGTCAACAATAGCACACATACAGTTTCACCAAGTATAAGTTAAAAGGCTTTCTGAGGAGATGACCTTGGACCCAGTGACTAGATCTCCTGGAAGGGGGAATGGCCCTGGCAGTTACGTGAGCCTGCCATGTCACACTAGCAGGAGCATACTCTGTAACACAGCTTTGGTGCTTTGTAATACAACTGACTCATAAACAGTCTTCCAGTCATCAATGTTTCGATTTCAATTACATTTTTAGATTAAACGGATATCACAATATTGGTGTCCCCCTTACAAAAACCCCACTAGATGCTAAAAAGTAAATAGGCCTTCTGACTAATGACTAACATTCACAACAATTTTCATGCCAAATGGAGAACTAAGGGATGTGTGACAAGCCCCAAATTAATGAATGATTTAATTGCAAGGGGAATATCATATTAATTATGCTCATATTAATTACACTCATATTAATTATATGGTAATAAACTGGACCAAGTAGAGCTCTTAAAGCATGCAGGAGGCAATCCTGCACTGGGAAAGCATTACTTCTCTTACCGTAGCTTATCTGGGTCTATTTATTTTTAAAGAAAAACATGAATATTTTATTCACAGTAGTTTTACCAATGTGTTTCAGTGCTGGAACCTGGAGAGTCCATGTGAATTTAAGAAATATATAAAGAATTGTCACTGACCTACTTATAAAACACTGATGCAACTTTTTTCTGAAAGTATATTGCAAAACATGTGGAGTTGTTTACTCAACATTATAATAGTGCTTTAATGCAGCATTTATACAGAAAAGTATTTGTAAAACATGATGTTCCATAATTAATACTTTTTGAACTGGAACAAGAAGAATAGTCTGTTGTCATAGAGAAGCAGCTTTTTAATTTGAGTAAATTTGATACTGCCGGGGATGAGGGCTTTCTATTAGTTACAGTCAAGGAAAACGCAGGCAAATTACACTGCAGCACTTTCTGTTAATACCCGTCAATGTTGGACTTCTCTCTCCACCATTATATCATTATGATCCACATTTTCTGTCTATGAAAACTGTCATGTGTAAAAACTGTACAGTTGTTGTGTAATGTGTAAAATGCCATGAGAGACTAAGGTGAGACCATCAAACCCATTTTCACTTGTTTTCAAAATGATGGCTTCAACAGTAAGGAGCAAAGCTCAGATGCTGTTTTTGAATAAACCTCAGTTGTTTATCAAATAGTTTTTTCTTGCCAGCTTCCTGACCAGATCTGTGAACTTTGGTGGCACCCTCTCTCTCCAGCACATACACCCTCTCTTTGTTTATGTAAAGCAGGTGATTTACTTTTGCTGCTTTTTTAGCCTCCTCACAGCTCCCCGCTTGCATCCCCTTCTCTTACCAATTCCCCAGATGCTTTCTGCCCTTTAGCAACATCCTCTCACACAGGTGTTCTCTTTCTTTCCCTCTTTCTCTCACACAAAAGTGCATGCACACCAGCTCCTTTGCTCATCTTCTCTCTGCAATTTGTCAGTCTTGCAGCCTCCCTTAGGTGAGAACTGGTAGCAGTATTAGTATTAGCTGCGGGCTGCACTCTGACTTTCTGACCAGGAGAACTTACATGAGATTTAAATAAAGCACTTGGCAAAGACTCAGCAGAGACTGACAAACTGACTAAGCTATACACCCTACCATGACAGCACCGGCTCTGTTAAAAAGCCTTGGTATAAAAGACATCCCTCTCAAGCATGTGTCAGCTGAGGAGACATCACCCATTTTAGCTAGTTATGAATGTTTCATATCAATTTGATATTTTCCCACTTTTAATTGCAAAATTTACTTTCTATTGGAGAATAGAGCTGTGAAACAAAGGCTATAGCTATTTAAGGAACACACCTTAAATCTCTTGAAATTTCAAGTCTTCCTGGGTCTTTGTACCATCTTCACTTGATTATACTTAATGTCTTGCACCTGCAGTTGCAGCTTTGGCAAGTGGAGACGGATGCAGTCTGCAGTGGAGAAGCAGCTCCAGGAGTGGTGTAAGTTACAAGCTTGTTGTGCTGCCACATTCTTCTGAGTGCAGAAAGAGAAATTGAGGCAATTACATTAATGAGAGATAGAGATGAAGGTATTTTTCAGTTTTCCCAACAATTCTTGTTTGATTCAGGGGAAAGGAAGAAAGGCTGAAAGTGCAGGCTGTGCTCTCTTCTTCCCAAATTTGAACTTAAAATCTTCCAAGTTGCGAAGTCCCCACATTAACCTTTCTTGCTGAAGTCTTGTTTTTTATACTTACTTTATTTTATCACTCCAAGAGAGTGCACATCCCTTTGATGTAAGGTAGAAGTGATAGACTGCCCTGCTGGCAGCCTTCACACATTATGATGCCTAAAAATGTTTTTCATGGAAAATGTCAGCTAGGATTGCTGACGTTGTATTTGGCATGTGGAACCATATGAAGAAAGAAGAGGATAGTTCATGATCAGTATCTAATTATCTCAGTTCTGCCAGTCCAGACCACAATAACAATTAGGCAAGATTAGAGTTGAATTACCTTGACCTAACTGTGCTCTGTGTTTTGATCATTCTGCCATCAGATGTATAATCCCCTATTAAAAATGGATCGGCATATCCATCGCAAATATTTACGA